AAATTTTGTGTTGGTAGTGGAGGCAGTTTTAAAGAAATCTGTGGGTTTATAGGATCATAAATGTTGGATGTGAAGAGGAAAAGTATCAGAACAGAAAGACGTTACGTTGGTAAACTCATCACAGTCTATACTCAAGTTCTCTCAGATAGGTCCAAGAACCTCCAACCAAATTCAAAACATAACCATTTATACGCCACAGTTATATTTTATTAATTTGCATTATGAGATATACTGATCAGATTTTTAAGACTACTGATCATAATCCTGCCCATGCCAATTTATTAGTCTACAAAGGAGAACACAGCTTTCCTTACTTGCACTGTCACCTGTACATCAAAACTTATCAGGAAGCTAAATAAGTGTTGAGAATAGATGCCTGATGAACATGGAAATCAGGCAAAGGGATAGAGGTATTTCAGCCAGGCCATAGTCAGGATTGATCAAATATTCTTGCCCCTCAACAGAGATTACCTTTCTAGTTACCAGAATTTTCATGAACTCCAGATGATGTATCTTTTTCCTTTGTACAGCAGTATATAAACATTGCTGAATTCTGCTTTTTAGACTTTTTTTCAATGTTCAGTGCTGACTGACCATCCATTCAATTTCTGCAAATACAGCCTTTCTTTAGCTGTGTTAATGTCATCTATTTAATTCAATTAAAAAACATTTCAGAGTACATACTACCTGCTGAGCATTATATTAGGTTCTGGGCATATAAGGATAAAGGTAAGAGCCACATTCTCAAGAGTTCATCTTGTATTGAGGAAGACCCTCTCTTTCCTGTTTTTGACCTGGGAGACTGCAGGTCTTTTAAAAGTGCTCTCTGCATGTATCCAATTTTATCCATTCTGTGAGAACGTTATTTAATTTTCAGAGTTCTACAAATACTTTACTGTTGGCCTCTTATATAACAACTACAAGAGGAGTTGTAGGGGAGGCAATTGAACTACTGGGGAGTTAAGTAGTTGCCTGCAATCACTAAGTAATAGAGCCAAGATTCAAATTCTAGATTTTTCTGACTCTGAAGATCACATAATCTTTTCTCTATTCCATGCAGTCGCTAAGAAACAAATACTCTTGAGAGATAGAAATATATAAAGTGGGCCAGGCATGGCGGCTCATGCCAGCACTTCGAAAAACTGAGGCAGGCGGATCACGAGGTCAGGAGATCAAGACCATCCTGGCTAACATGGTAAAACCCAGTCTCTCTTTACAAATACAAAAATTAGCCAGATGTGGTGGTATGAGCCTGTAGTCCCGTCTACTTGTGAGGCTGAGGCAAAAGAATTGCTTAAACCCACGAGGCAGGGACTGCAGTGAGCCCAGATCACACCACTGCACTCCAGCCTGGGTGAAAGAGTGAGACTGTCTCAAAAAATTAATTAATTAACTAAAATAAAATAAACTAATTTTTAAAAAAGGCCAGGCACGGTGGCTCAAACCTGTAATCCCAGCACTTTGGGAGGCAGAGGAGGGCAGATCACAAAGTCAAGAGATTGAGACCATCCTGGCCAACATGGTGAAACCCTGTCTCTACTAAAAATACAAAAATTAGCTGGGCGTGGGCACCTGTAGTCCCAGCGACTCAGGAGGCTGAAGCAGGAGAATCGCTTGAACCCAGGAGGCGGAGGTTGCAGTTAGCCGAGATTGCACCACTGCACTCCAACCTGGTGACACAGCAAGAGTCCGTCTCAAAAAAAAAAGAAAAAAAAGAAATATATAAAGTGCGTTGAACAGTTTCTAACATACCACCTAATTCAATTACTATGTCTGCCAAACTAAAATCAACAATTCCAAGTTTTAAATATGTGCAAGGATTTTCAATCTCCTATTTACCACTCCCCCAAATAAGCCAAGACTAGTATTTATTTTGGTAGGTCAAGGCCCAATTCACTGCCATATAGTATTATCAGAAAATTGAATCAAAACCCAGATCACTGTTCTAGTCGAAATATCTAATCTCACCAATGTGTTAGTTACCTTCCAGTAACTAATACATTTAAATTTTACTTCATACTTTAAGACTTAGTCAAGCATATTAAGTTATTTCAAAACTAAGACTAAGCAAATATAGATACTGTAAAAAGTACACCATTGGACAGTATCCTAAGTATTCTAAAGCTTCAAATTACACATTTGGTTGATAATATATTTTTCTTTAATTTATGCTGAATTATTAGAAAGAAATACTTCTCTACAGCATTACCCTCTATGTGTTTCTTATGTTTCTGATGAATTATAACATGTAATAGTTCATTACAATTGATGGCAAAGATTTGTTGAGTAGTGAAATTACTTAAATGCAAACCCTAGTGAACTTAAATACAAATCCTAGTGTATGAATAAGAAAAATGTAATGAACTGGGAAAGGAAGAAAATGAAATGTAAGAAACTGCTAGGTGGGAGTGCAGTGAGAATATAAACACCAGAAACTGCAATTCATCATACAGGAAGTCTGAAATCACATGACATACAGGAAAATAAAAATTAGAAATAAATGAAAAAGGCATAAGGTACACAGGCTCAACAGAGCCCACCAAAAAATTTAAAATGCTTTAAATAAACACAGGTCTGTTTTTAAAAAAGCAATTGCAAGAATAAGACATACTTAAATAATCTATTGACCATTATTGAGGGACTACTTTAACTTTCTAGTTATTTTCCTAATAGTTAATAATCATATTACCATCTATCCATTAACTGTCAAAATAGTAAAAATAATTATTTCCTAATCCTAAAACATATAATAAAAAACTTAAAATGGCTACAGATTTCTTTTCCCCCAAAGACAACAGGAAAACTCAGTGTATTATATTTACAATTAAGATATACCATCAGAATTAAATTGATCTTACCCATTAATGTTGCTAAAAGACACAAGGAGTACATTTCTTTGTCGGCTTGCTCCTGAAGTTCCTTAGATGACAGCTTACCAGTAACAGCAATATCTTCTTGTTTCACAGTGTGGGCTGAGTGTGCTACAGCAGACTGACCACCTTCAGCTTTACTCTTTAGAATTTCTATTGTAATTCTGTCGCCGTGCTGTAAAGGAACTGGTTCCTTTTCCATTCCTGCCTGCGGTGGCATTAACTCCTTAGGAGGAAAGCCATATCGAATACACTGTAAATATGGAGGAATGTTGAATTCTCTGGCTATACTTTCCTGAAGTTCAAAAAAGGTTGTTGAAGACTTAAGGGTAACCATGGACTGCCGTCCATCATTAGTTGTGATTCGGATCTTCTTCTCCTTAGAAGTTGTGGGTGAATAGGGAGCCTTGGTAGGTGTAGCAGGTGCAGAGGATGGGCCATCACGAATGGTACTGGGAGAAACAGTCCTGGATTGCCCTTTTTGTTCTTGTTTTAACTTCTCTGTTTTCCGTTTCTGCATTACAGAAGCCTGTTCCGTAATATTCTGTTGAATAGTTCTTTCAGTTTTACTCATGTTTAACTCCTCCTTGTGCAAAGTTTTTGTTTTCTGTCCAGTAAGAATAATTTTAGTTGGGAGCTGAGACTCTGATTCTTGTCCTTGTACATCTCCAACTCTTTGGGCATGAGCACCATCTATATTTACAGGAGTATAATCATCAGGATTCTTTTTGGCAGTTTGATGCAATATAGTGTGGACAACTTTCTGAACTAAGATTTCACTCCCAAATTCACCTGGAAAGTGCTTGGTAACAAGTTTCATTGCAACATCGTAAACATTGCTATTCAAAGATGAATCACTTTCATACTGGAACCAATACACTGTTTCTCTGACCACTCTTCCACCCCATTCTAAAGTAATAGGGAAAGCTTCTGGTAGATTGTCATACTCCTTACCATCCCAAAAGTGTTTGAATCCACAACCACATTTGCCACCAGTGGACCTAGAATTAGTTCTGTCTCCATCCAAATACACAATAGACCCATCTCCTCTGACCCTTCGCACAGATGTGCCATGGCACCAATTACAAGCTGTTAGGTTACTCAATCCATAGTCTGGTACCAGAACATCTTTCACTGAATCATATGAGCAAACCAAATTGTTCAAGGGAAAGCTATAATTTTTATCAGTCCTCAGCTGTCCATGAGTACTTTTTGCCAGGTTATACAATTTCCCTCCAGGAGCCAACCACTCTGGAGGAACATGAAGTTCAGAAAGGGCACCACAGAGCAAACATTTGTGAAGGCGATTATCCATTACTGCCTTTTTAGCAGCTGCTGTGACTTCTTCAGGCTGAACTCCTATCACTCCAGTCCTTCTGTAGAAATACTGATGGACATCAGCAACCAAACTAGGATGGATACCGTGTTTGTCCATAAAGACTTCTTCCATAGCAGCAACAAGCCTAAGTAAGTATTTATCTTGCAAACTTCTGTCACCTCCAATAACACAACCACCATCCTCTTCAAGTTTGATGTACTTTTTAATAAGGTCCTGAGGTACACCCCATGCTTTAGGAAGCAAATTCATAGGCAGTTTGGGCAAAGCAGCCCCTTTTATGCCTACCAAAGGGATATAATGGTTTCTACCGGAGCTGCTCCATGCAATACAGATTGGTTTGTTCAAATGACCATCTTTACCAGTGCACTTCTCTGCAGGGATGAGCCCAGGTAGAAAGGTGGCTGAATAATCACCAGAGCTTCTCATGCCACTGAGGGAATCTAACAGAATAATAGGACGATGTAGCACATTGGCAAGACCAAATATGTGGATATTCCTCAGGCCCAAGGGAACACCCTCAGGTGGTACAAACAGAGGGTCACACTCATTGATAATGTCCTCCCACTCAGCAGCATCAATGAAATCATGAAACAGAGCTTGATATCGCGCCAGGTGCTGCTGAAAGTGCTGTTTAAGATTCTCTCTCAAGGCATGCCAGAAGAGCTCTCGGCCTACTAGAGCCCGAGACACAGCATGCACCAGGCAGTGTCCATCCCCGTCCACATGCACTGGAATGAGACATTCCTGACTTTTATTGGCCCGCTTAATGTCTTCCAGAGTGTCATGCAGATACAGGAGGCTTCCGGAGCGGTCCTTCCCGTAGCCCACTGTGTTAACATGTTCTGGTTCTATGAGGAAGGCGCGGTCACCCAGTAAAGCGCAATCGAACAGTTCGCCCTGGTTCATGTCCCGGAGAAGCTTGGCCCGGCCTGTCTGTTTGTCCATTCCATAGCGAGCTAATATGGGCGACAACAATTTGCAGTGATAGTTGGAAAGGCCCATCACCTTAACCAGTTCCGTGTTCTTCTTGGGTGCCCCCGTCACCCCGAGCAGCGCGTTCCGCAGCAGGTTGTGTAGCACTACGTCCGGGTCGGTCACCTCCTCAACCCCCAGCAGCTGTTGCTGCTCGTGCCGCTGGCCGCACTCGGTACACTCGATGCTGACAGAACCGGAGGCCGGGAAGAACAGACGCGCCTGGCACTTCGGATCCGGGCAGCTCCCGGAAAGGATTCTCCGGTCTCTCCGCTTCAAAAGCCCCCCCGAAGCAGCCGCCGACGCCGACACCAGGGACGACGGAGTCTGCGGAGCCTCAGGGGGAGGAGGTGGCGGCGGCAGCGGAGGCGGCGGCGGCGGCGGCTGAGACATAGCTACCGGCTCTCGTGTCTCGCTCCGCGTCCCAAGCGACCCTCAAAAGCTCATAGCCCACCCCCACCGACCCGACTCGGTCTTGTCCAGGCCCAGGGCGAATCACTTTCCTTTCCCTACCAGTTCCTCCTCCTCCTAAGCGAAGGCGGAAGCGCCGGACGTTGTTTCTCTTCTTACTTCTCCACTGCCGTAGCCGTTGCCCCGAACGTAACGGCCACCACCCAACCCCGCACTCACACTCACTCACTCTCGCTCTCTCTCCCTCAGACACACAGACATACACGCCCTCATTGAATGTGCGCAGGCGCAGCTTCCGCTCTGCCCTCTGGGAATTAGAGTCCTCTAGCGGCTGTGCTGGTCATAGGGACCTAGGATCTTGAGTTCAGATGGAACTACAAGTACCGTGAGGCCAAGTGGTTCAGCGCTAGAGAGGAGGAGGAAGAGGACGGCAACAGGAAAAGAGGCGAAAGAAAGATGGTGCTTCGCGTTGCCTGCCGGTAGTTGTAGTTTTACCTGGACCTCCTTCGTCGTCTTCCCCACTCTGCAGCCCAAGCCAAAGAGTCTGAGAGACCACATTTCCTAGGATACCCTGCGGTGCGTCCTGCTGCACTTTCTCCTTAGGCGGCGGGGAGGCTTCAGGGAAGCTTGGTGAAAACAGAGTTAAAGGCAGGGTCTGAAGTTCACGACTATAGAAGGGGAGGGGAGTGGAAAGGCTCTCAGTGAAAAAGGTACAGTAAATAAATGTCCAGGGATACTGTGGGCTGGGAAGTTGAATAAATGGTCTAATCTAGGCTGGAGGCCATAAGGGGGAAAAATAGTTGATTCTCGGAAGTTCTGTCTTCTCTCCCTCTTTCGTGCGAGTCGCTGAGGCGCCATTTGATTTTTCGTTTCCTGCATGTCTTGGCAGTTTACAGTACAAATAACGGTACCTTGGATGTCTGTAGAGTTTTATGTGGATATACAAAGCCTCTTAACGAGGTTTAATTTCATTTGCTCTTTACTGCCCTACCTCCCCCTAGACAGTAATAAGCGCTATCATTTGTTAAATTCTTAATATGAGTCTGGACAGTATTTATGTAAGATGATATATTTGATCTTCAAAATAACCTTAAGAAGCAGGCCCGGAAAGGAAATGACTTGCCCAAGTTCACGCAGCTGATAAGGGACTGGATAGGCATTGAGACCTCGATCTGTCCTCTTTTTACAGATAAGGACGTAGGCAAGAAAGGTTAGGCCCGTATTACATAGAATAGTAACTAGCATTTGTTTACTATTGCTTTATAGTTTACATATTTAATAATATGTTCACAAATGTCATCTCATCCTCACATCAGTCCTGTAATACGTTTACCAGGTGGTGTTGACTTCATTTACAATTAAGGAAACTGAGACTAAAAGGAATTAAGTGACTTGCCCAAGGTCAAGTCGCCAGTGTATGCTAGATCCCGATCTCAAACCTAGAGAGTGATTTTTACCCTGCTTCCTACCAAAAAACCCGAAAATGTTAGGCTCAGATCTTTTGCTAGGCCTTAGTCTCCTCTTAGGAATGCAGGGATGTTTACTGTTAAAGAGGCAACAGCTTTATTCTTTTGTCAGTTGTCTAGGAAACTGCCTCTTCATACAGAACAATATTCGTATGTTAATTGAAAGCTGATATTATTTTTGTTCATTCATCCCCTTTCACTTATTCCGGAAATTCTTGCTTTCTAGACGCTTAATATCACCTTAGGTAAATGGACTACCTCAAAATTTCTGAAACATTTGGCACAAAGGAGAAACATTAGTGAAGGTTTTGTGTGTGTGTGTGTGTTTATGTAGAATTTGATGCTTTGAAATGCATTTTTAAAAGTAGAGGCTAATAAAGGGTATTAGCTTTGAATTGCACCTAATAATTGTTTACAATTTTTTTTTTTTTTGGAAAGAAATTAAGTGTTTGAAAGAGAAATCCTTCAATTGTCATTTTCTTGTCAATTTTACCTCCATAATGGACTGTAATTACAAGAGAGGTTATTTTTCCTATCTTGGAGGGGATATTTTTCAGTAAAGTTTTTCTCAAAGAATTCATGCAGGAAAAGTTGTTTATTCTGACAAGTTTGTTGGTAACTACACAGATTGGTTTTGCCGCTGATTTTTTTATTAATTGAATGCTTATAAGTAGAAAAATTGGATATCTTAAGTGGAGATTATTTTATGCTGTGACTAAAAGGTTACACCTGCAGTGAAACTTTTTCTCGTACAGAATCCAAGAAATTGAATTATTAAAGCTCTGTAGCACATGAAATGACAACAGTCTGCAATTCTAACACTGTCATGTACTTTTATATCTTAATATTACCAAGCCAAATTTTTCTTATTGATGATACATGTAAATAGTGAAGTAGATTTTTAAAATTGTATTTGAATATGCCATTCTGAATCATACCTTGACAAAAATAATCACTTCCCACCTCACTGAATAAATGAGAAGCCTTTTTCTGGCTTGGCTAGGTCATTTAACCTGAAAGTCAGTTATTTAATAAGTTTGTAGATGCACTTAAAGTTCAGAAAGTAAGAAAGCTAACATAAAGGGGCAATGAAATTAATCATGCCAAGTTTAATATGTGAATTAATTCTTTGTTACTAGTACTTAGATGGCTGGGTACCTACAAAGAAAAAAAATTGTTAGGTCAAAAATATGACATACTGTTTCTTATGAGACCTTAGGAGTGTAGAAACCCTCTCACCTGCTTATGTAAGATCCACAGGCTTCCTTCCTCTTCTCCCCCCAAATTCCACGATCTTGCCTAATGAAGATTAACTTAACTGCCTAATTAACTTTCACAGGATTTTTGTAGGGTAGATAATAGTTCTTGTTTTTAGTATTCCAGGTGAAAAGAATAAGCTGGGCCCCTGACATTAGCTGTGCTGATACACATCTCTTCTACCACCATCACACCAGCATCACTAGTATCTAAATTGCCAACATTCAGTTAAAATTGAAATTCATCTTTTTCATAGTTTCTAGTATGGCACTTGTAAACTACCTGTATTGCTTTTAATGAACATGATAAATGTAAATGCAGAAGTCATCCACCTTTACTAACAGAACAACCATCATTGTTCTTGATCTTTTATATTTTACATATATATAAGGAAGGGAATCATAACTTTGGGGATTCTTATAAGTTGGCCATATATCTGCTTATATAAACTATACATCTTTCCTAAGAATTGACTATGTTCTTCCAGACCGATACCACATAGAGTCAGACTTCCAATCACAAGCTTCGATTGAAGCTCAAGGTAGATTTGGGAGGTACTAATTATTGAAGTAGGTATTATAAGAACTTAAAGGGATGCAAAATTTTATCTCTGTCTCAGAGGAGCTTAGCATTTAATAGAAGAGAGAGGCTAAACTAAACTTCATAAATATAAGTTGAATAAAGCATGTAATTATTCAAAATAATACAGGAAACGAATATCACAAATGCTATGAAAATTTAATTGAGGATTTATTATAGGGCAGTGTTTTGAGTATATCATCCTAATCTTTAAAACCTCCTCATCCAGGTACGGTGGCTCATACCTGTAATCCTCTCACTTTTGGAGGCTGAGGCGGATGGATCACGAGGTCAGGAGATCAAGACCATCCTGGCTAACACCGTGAAACCCTGTCTCTACTAAAAATACAAAAAATTGGCTGGGCGTGGAGGCATGTGCCTACTCAGGAGGCTGAGGCAGGAGAATTGCAGTGAGCCAAGATCGTGCCATTGCACTCCAGCCTGGGCCACAGAGTAAGACTCTGTCTAAAAAAAAAAAATAAATAAATAAATAAAATGGAAAAAAAAACACTCCTGTGAGATACTATTGACCTTATCATATGGATAAAATTTAACTCTAAAAGATTAACATCGTTTTGATTGCCACCAGCTAGGAAATAGAGCTGGGCTTCAAATCAAGGCTTTCCTTGTTCAGCACTCACTCTTTCCACTACATCACAGCTGCTTACTGATTTGAGAGAGAGAATTAGCCAAGAAATGAGTGCAAACTGGTGGCTGGTGGCCAAACTTGGCTTGATGTAGTTTTGTTGGGTCGACAGCAGTTTAACTTCTATTTTTTAATGTGAATGTCTGAGCAGTGGCCTGTATTTCACTCTTTAAGGTCTTACACCAGGACCCCTTGAGGCAAGTTAACAAGTACAGAGCTACAAGTTGTTCCTTCACACAGTAGTCCTCAAGCTTTAATGTACATCACAGTTAAATGGAAAGCTTGCTAAAACACAGATTGCTCGGCTCCATCCTAGATTGAGTGTGTCTGAGGTGAAGCCTGAGAATTACATTTCTAGCAAGTTCTCTGGTTGCAGATAGTGCCAGTCTTTGCAAGGATCACACTTTGAGAATCACTGCTTACCAAACTTGTAAGGCACTAAGAAACCAAAATTATGTAATAATAGCGGTTAACACCTTTTTAGCATCTATTGTGCACCAGGGTCTTTACATGTAATATTTATTTAATCCTTATAATATCCCTATGAAGCAGGTACTGTTATTAGCATTCTTATTTTTCAGATGAAGAACTTGAGGCACAGAAGATAAGTAACTTGTTCAGTGTCTCGTTGCTAGTGAGTGGCATAATTAGGATTAAAACCAAAGCAGGGCCGGGCTCAGGCCTGTAATCTCAGCACTTTGGGAGGCCAAGACAGGTTGATCACTTAAGGCCAGGAGTTCGATACCAGCCTGCCCAACATGGTGAAACCCTGTCTCCACTAAAAGTACAAAACTCAGCTGGGTGTGGTGTGTGCCTGTAGTCCCAGCTACTTGGGAGGCTGAGGCAGGAGAATTGCTTGAATGTGGTAGATGGAGGTTGAAATGAGTCAAGATCATGCCACCGACCTCCACTCTGGGCGACAGAGTGAGACTCTGCCTCTAAACAAAAAAAAAAAAGAAAAAAGGTAAAATAAAACCAAAGCAATCTGGTGCCAGAACCACTCTGCTAACTGACTCTTCTGTGCATATTATTTTTCACCTGTATTGTGTAATCACATCTTGATATTAAACATCTCTTAACGTTTAATTTTTTTTTTTTTTTTTTTTTGAGACAGAGTCTCACTTTGATGCTCAGGCTAGAGTGCAGTAGTGCAATCACAGCTCACTGCAGTCTCAACATCTCGGGCTCAGGTGATCCTCCTACCTTACCCTCCTGAGTAGCTGGGACTACAGGCCTGTGCAACCATGCCCAGCTAAGTTTTGTGTTTTTTATAGACATGGGGTTTCACTATGTTGGCCAGGCTGGTCTCTGCCTGCCTTCACCTCCCAAAGTTCTGGGATTACAAGTGTGAGCCATTGTGCCTGGCCTAACATTTACTATATTTTTATTCTACTCTTTGAACACCATAGATTTATCCACCCTTTAGAAGTTATAGAACCTCTTCTTTATATCCTAGTGACCAACATTTACTTAAAATTTCAGACTTCTGTTATTTAACTTGATTGATGGGAAATAAAATGGAATTCTGCTTTATCTTTCATTTTTGAAAGGTGCTGACAAGTTACTGCTGCATGCATTTGATGGTCGGCCATCGTAGCCATGTAAGGAGTAGGAGCTGGGTACTTCTTCTCAATTCTGCCTTCTATCATAAGAAGTGGACAGGTAAATTTTTTCATTGAAACTCATCTAACACTTTATAAAATAAAAGTTAAAGTATGAGCTTTTCTTACATATTTGTGATACTATTCTAGTTACAACAATTAATCTTAGGTCTCTACCTCAAATATATATATATATGTATATACGTGTGTGTGTATATATATATATATATATACACGTATAGGTATATATATATATACGTGTATATATATATGTATATATATATGTATATACACACACATATATATATACACGTATATATATATACCTATATATATAAACATATATACATATACCTATATATATATATAAATATATATACACCTATATATATAAATATATATATAAACATACATATACCTATATATATACATATATATATATTTATATATATATGTATATATATATATAAATGAACTCAGAAATTGATCAAAGACTTAACTGTAAAATTAAAATAAGGCCGAGCGTAACGGCTCACACTTGTAATCCCAGAACTCTGGGAGGCCAAGGCGGGTGGATCACCTGAGGTNCCAGGATGGTCTCGATCTCTTGACCTCGTGATCCACCCGCCTTGGCCTCCCAAAGTGCTGGGATTACAGGCGTGAGCCACCGCGCCCGGCCAAACGCAAAGGATTTTTCTCTTAAAATATTTGAAACATTCAAAGGTATACATAAAAATAATATTAAAAAAACACTCATACACTCACTACTAGATTTAACAAATGTTAGTTTTTCAACATATTTGCTTCATAATCCCCCCTCTTCAAAAAACACATTATAGGCTGGGTATGGCAGCTCACGCCTGTAATACCAGCATTTGGGAGGCTGAGGCGGGTGGATCACCAGGTCAAGAGTTCGAGACCAGCCTGACCAACATGGTGAAACCCATCTCTACTAAAAATACAAAAATTAGCCAGGCGTGGTGGTGCATGCCTGTAATCTCAGCAACTCAGGAGGCTGAGGCAGGAGAATTGCTTGAACCCAAGAGGCGGAGGTTGCAGTGAGCTGAGATCACACCACTGTACTCCAGCCTGGATGACTAAGACTGCATCTCAAAAAAAAAAAAAAGTATGACGAGACTCAGATTTTAAGGCTTAAAGATGTATATAACAAAATTGTGCCTTGTGAGTTTTAACGGAAATCACTATTTCCCTGAATAAATTAGGAGATCCATTGAACTTAGTAATGGAGGAAGAATTTCCTTGTAGTGAACATCTCGAGAATGATCATTGCCGTCATTATACTGTCCCACTGGAAGCTCCTCCCTCTTTAGCACCTTGATCCAGGCATGGAACAAAACTGTTCCCTCACAGGACTTTATGAATTACTTGATGTTAAAGGTAATAAACACAAGTAATAACATAAAGCTAGGTAATGTCACTTGTATGGCTTACTCAGCTTTCAGATTGCTGGGCCTACTCCATGTGATAAAGGCCAAATTTACCATCTTGGAACTATGGAATACAACCCTCTACAGTGATGGAAGTGTTCTGTGCCTGTGCTGTTCAGTATGACAGCCACTAGCCACATGTGGTTGTTAGGCTCTTAAAATGTGGCTAGTATAACTGAGGATTAGTCCCCAAACCCTAGTTGAGTTCCTTGCTCTGGTATGGGTCAGAGGATGGGGACTGACTGCAAAGGGGAACAAGGAAACTTTTTGGGATGATGGAAATAGTCTTTATCTCAATTATGGTGGTGGTGATACGGATTTATACATTTGTCAAAGCTCATCAGACTATACTCTTAAAAGGGATGCAATTTATTATGTGTAAATTACACTTCAGGGAAGTTTTGTTGTTGTTTGGTTTTTTTTGTTTTGTTTTTTGAGATGGCCTCTCACTCTGTTGCCCAGGCTGGAGTGCAGTGACATGGTCTCAGCTCACTGCAATCTCTGCCTCCCAGGTTCAAGCAATTCTGCCTCAGCCTCCCTAGTAGCTGGGATTACAGATGCACACCACTATGCCCAGCTAATTTTTGTATTTTTAGTAGAGACGGGGTTTCACCATGTTGGCCAGACCGGTCTTGAACTCCTGACCTCAGGTGATCTGCTCTCCTTGGCCTCCCAAAGTGCTAGGATTACAGGTGTGAGCCATTCCGCCCAGCCCAGTAAAGTTGATTTTTAAAAGTAAAAAAAAAAATTGAGTTCCAGAGCTAGAAGTTCCACCCTCAGTCTGTCTGAAGCTTGCCTCCTGCAATCCTTTTTCTTTCCTAAGGACCAACGAAGTCATCGCTACAACATGTAATACCCTGTGTAATCTGGCCCCTGGCTTCTCTGACATTTTTTGCATGGCTTGTGTGCTTCAGCCACACTGGCCTCCTTGTCGGTCCTCAAACATTCTAAGTACATTCCTGTCTCAGGACCTTGGCACTTGCTCTTCTGCCTGGAAAATTCCTCCCAGGTAGAATTTATGTAGTTATCAGCTCAAATCTCGGTTCCAATGAGATGCTTTTCCTAACCAACCTCTCTAAAACAACACCTCCAACCTTTTTCTCTGTTCCCCTATCCCACTCATTTTATTTTATTTTATTTTATTTTTTGAGGCAGTCTTACTCTGTCACCCAGTGTGGAGTGCAGTGGCGCAATTTTGGCTGACTTCAACCTCCTTCTCCTAGGTTCAAGCAATTTTTCTGTCACAACCTCCCCAGTAGCTAGGATTACAGGAGCCAACCACCATGCCCAGCTAATTTTTGTATTTTTCTTTTTTTTTTCTTTCCTCTAACATGGATCATAGGAAACAATAATTTTTGTATTTTTCATAGAGACAGGTTTCACTATATTGGTCAGGCTGGTCTCAAATTCCTGACCTCAGGTGATCCAGCCTCCCAAAGTGCTGGCATTACAGGTGTGAGCCACCACGCCCGGCCCCGGCCCTCACTCATTTTCTTTATACCTCTAGTCATCAGGAATTATATAATTACTTGTCTATTGTTCTCCTTCCCCACTATATTCTTAAGTAAGGCTTTTCATAAGGGCATGCAGTTTGTTGATTGTTTGATTCCCTGTGCCAGGTTTATATAGCCTCAATAAATATTGTTGAATGAATTAATGGCTATCATCTATGGCATTGTGTTTCAGCCTGATATTCAAGCATAAGTTCCCGGAGAATCCACCAATTCTTTACAGTTTAAAAAATTTTGTGTTGTCATTTTGATGCCAAAGCAAAGTCATATTATTTGTGATTTTTTCAGATGAGCACCTTAAAACGTGAAGTTTTGAGTACGTGAATTCACACTGAGTTTAGGATTTGCACACTAAATTTAGGATTTTGTTTTTATCAGCTGAAAGCCAAAGAACATTGTGACAAAACGTGTAAGGTTTCACAATCATTTTGAGGAAAGAGGTGGGAGAGTTGAGTCATCACATATCACACAGTAGCCCATGGCAAACACAGTGTTGTAACTGTCAGTGCCACGTTCCTATTAAAAATAGAAATTGCACATAACACACACGTACATACATATATTTGCAACAACTTAGTCACTGAAAACAAAGTAGTAAATAATGAGGATTTTTTTTGTTTCCCAGCAATAATTAAATTAGATACTATATAATTCAAATTTGAAATATTCAACAAATGCTAACCTTATCCTAAAGTGAATAAGACTCTGCTAAAGATTTATTGAGTGATAGTCAAATAAAACTTGGCTTTCCAGGGTTTTGTAGTACCAGAATTTTTATTAAAATTTGAGATCTAATTATTTTAAACTAGCAACAGAAGACCAGAAAGTTAATAATGCAATGTATTTGCACAAACAAGTGTTTTTGCATTGACATTATTGAACATACAGAGGGTCTGGGAGCAGTGACTTATGCCTCTAATCCCAGTACTTTGGGACACTTAGGAGAATTGCTTAAGGCCAGGAGTTCAAGACCAGCTTGGTCAACCCCACCTCTACAAGTAATAAATATAAAAAATTTTTAAATTAGCTAGCTGTACTGGCGTGTGCTTGTAGTACTAGCTACTCGGGAGGTTGAGACAGGAGGACTGATTAAACCTAGGAGTTTGAGGCTCGTAGTGAGTGAGCTATGATAGTACCACTGTGCTCCAGGCAGGGTGAGAGGGAGAGATGCTGTCTCTAAAATAAAAATAAACATACAGAGACACATTTAACATAGAAATAGATTAGAAGTTGAATCTTAATGCTCATAAACCTAACACTTTACAATTCAAGTTACTATTTATTTATTTTGAGATAGCATCTTGCTCTGCACCCAGGCTAGAGTGCAGTGGTGCAATCTCGGCTCGCTGCAACCTCTGCCTCCTGGGTTCTAGCAATTCTCCTGCCTTAGCCTCCTGAGTAGCTGGGATTACAGGCGTGTGCCACCATGCCCAGCTAATTTTTTGTATTTTTTAGTGAGAGACAGGGTTCTACCATATTGGCCAGGCTGGTCTTGAACTTCTGACCTCAAGAGATCCTCCGGCCTCAGCCTCCCCAAAGTGCTGGAATTACAGGCGTGAAACACAGCACCCAGACTTTCCTGATATCTTTCTGTTACTGATTTCTGCTTTAATTCCACTGTGTTCAGAGAACATACATTATATGATTTTAACAACTTTTTAAAATTAATTGAGGTTTCCTTAGTGTCCCGAATATGGTCTATTTTGGTGAATGGAACATACACACTTGAAAAGAATGTATATTCTGCTTTGGATGGAGTGTTCTATAAATGTCAATCAGGTTTAGTTAATTAATAGTCCAATATTTATTTTTATTTTTGCTACTTTTATTATTTGTGGAGAAATTTCTTAATTAGTATAATCTTTAGCTGAGACCATTTCTCTTCCAAAACTGAAATACAAATGCTGTTTTTTCTCACTTTAAAGAAAATTAAAACAACTTCAGAAAAGAAAGAACAAATTTCAAGTCAACCCAAATCCCGCCACTCAGAGAGTACTATTGCTGGTATTGATTCGGATAAAATAAAAGGATATGCTACTGTTTTTTCTTTTAACCCAGCTTCATAGATATGTATTTATGTCTATAAATATAAATCTACTTCATCTTTTATACTGAATAAGTAGTATTTCACATTGTGGATATACCATAATTTATTTAAGCATTACCTTAGATAAAGGATAGGCTGTTTCCAGTTTTTCACTGTTTTTTTCTTTTCTTTTTATATGAGACAGTTTTGCTCTTGTTGCCCAGGCTGGAGTGCAATGGCATGATCTCAGCTCACCACAGCCTCCTGGGTTCAAGTGATTCTCCTGTCTCAGCCTCCCAAGTAGCTGGGATTACAGGCATGCACCACCACACCTGGCTAATTTTGAATTTTAGTAGAGACAGAGTTTCTCCATATTGGTCAGGCTGATCTCGAACTCCTGACCTCAGGCCTCCCAAAGTGCTAGGATTACAGGCATGAGCCACCATCCCTAGCCTTTTCACTGTTATAAACAGTGTTTTCATGAATGTCTTTGTACACCCACAAACACATATGCATACACTTGTGCACTTGTCTCCTATAAATGGAATCATTAAGTAAAAGTTTATATATTTTTTAAAATTTTGGCATAAATTGTCACATTTCCTTCAAGGACGTTTATACCAGTTTAACTGTTATCTACCAACAGTGCATAAGAATACTCATTTGTGTGCTTTTAAATATTTAATCATAAACAGCTTAACAATGTTCCACTTTGCATCATTTGTCCCCTTCCCTTTTTTTTTTTTTTAATTTTAAGTGCAGTGGCAGAAAGAGAATTGTGTTCCTGGCATAAAACGTATTGAGTTAATTGCAATTCTTACAATCTACGCACAGAAAATTATAAATAAAAAGATAAAACAGCCGGGCCTGGTGGCTCATACCTATAATCCCAGCACTCTGGGAGGCCAAGGTAGGAGGATCCCGTGAGCCCTGAGTTTGAGACCAGCCTGAGTAACATAGTGAGACCCCATCTCTACAAAAATTACTAAAATTAGCTGGGTGTGGTGATATGTGGCTGTGGTCCCAGATACTGAGGAGGCTGAGGCGAGAGGATCACTTGAGCCCTGGAAGGAGAGGTTGCAGTGAGCCAAGATCACACCACTGCACTCCAGCCTGGGAGACAGGGAAGACCCTGTCTCAAAAAAAGGAAAAGAAAAGAAAACTATCCACAACCCAATCTAAAATTTAAATTGGGCCGGGCACTGTGGCTCACATCTGTAATCCCAGCATTTTCAGAGGTTAAAGTGGGCAGATCACCTGGGGTTAGGAGTTCAAGACCAGCCTGGCCAACATGGTGAGACCCCGTCTCTACTAAAAATACAAAAATTAGCTGGCTTTGGTGGCACACACCTATAATCCCAGCTATTTGAGAGGCTGAGGCAGGAGAACTGCTTTAACCCAGGAGGCAGATATTGCAGTGAGCTGAGATCGCGCCACTGCACTCCACCCTGGGCGACAGAGCCTCCATATAAAAAATAAATAAATAAATCAGATAAAATAAAATTTAAATTGCATAAGAACCTTAGATTTGGGCCAGGCACAGTGGCTCATGCCTGTAACTTCAGCACTTTGAGAGGCCAAGGCCTGCAGATCACTTGAGCTCAAGAATTCGAGAACAGCCCAGGCAACATAGTGAAATGCTATCTCTACAAAAATACAAAAATTAGCTGAGTATGGTGGTCTGTGCCTATAGGCCCAACTACTTGGGAGGCTGAGGTGGGAGGATGGCTTGAGTCCAAGAGGTGGAGGTCCCAGTGAGCCAGGAAGGTGCCACTCCACTCCAACATGAATGACAGAGCCAGACTCTGTCTCAAAAACAAACAAACAAAAGCCTTAGGTTTATCAACATAAAGCTGAGTGCCTTAAAGTAGATGTTAGAAAGAAACACTGAGTGTGATGATGATGGAGAAACAACAGAAATCACTTCCTTGTTTCTATTGGCATGTGATATCAGATGTTTAGATTTCTGCTTGCTGGATATACCTCATTTTTGCTATGGTTACTATTCTTTGGTTTTCCTAGAAGATAATTTGGATAATTTTAGGAATTAGTGTTTATATTTTAACATAATATTTAGTAGTAGAATTATGAGAACATAATAGGCATCCAGTTAGCATTTATCAATTGAATTATTTTTTTGAAGCAGAGTCTCACTCTGTCGCCCAGGCTAGGGTGCAGTGATGTGATCTTGGCTCACTGCAATATCTGCCTCCCAAGTCTAAGCAATTCTCCTGCCTCAGTCTTCCAAGTAGCTGGGATTATAGGTGTGCACCACAACGCCTGGCTAATTATTATTATTATTATTATTATTATTTTCACTCTGTGGCCAGGCTGGAGTGCAGTGGCATGATCTTGGCTCACTACAACCTCTGTCTCCCAGGTTCAAGTGATTCTCGTGCCTCAGCCTTCTGAGGAGCTGAGACTACAGGTATGCACCACGATGCCCAGCTATTTTTTATAATTTTATTAGAGACAAGGTTTCACCATGTTGGCCAGTCTGGTCTTGAACTCCCAACCTCAGGTGATCCGCTCGCCTCAGCCTCCCAAAGTGCTAGGATTACAGGTATGAGCCACCACACCTGGCTTAATTTTTGTATTCTCAATAGAGATGGGGTTTTATCATGTTGGTCAGGCTGATATCAAACTTGTGGCCTCAAGTGATCTGCCCACTTCAGCCTCCCAAAGTACTGGGATTACAGCTCACTGCAAGCTTTGCCTCTCTGGTTCAAGCAATTCCCCTGCCTCAGCCTCCTGAGTAGCTGGGATTACAGACAAGCACTACCACACCTGGCTGATATTTGTATTTTTAGTAGAGACAGGGTTTCACCATGTTGGTCAAGCTGGTCTCGAACTCCTGACCTTGTGATCCGCCTGCCTCAGCCTCCCAAAGTGCTGGGATTACAGGTGTAAGCCACCTCGCCCAGATTAAAGCATAAATTTTAAATTCTTGCAGGATCAGATGTATTATTAGCATGTCAATTTAATACTCTTTATTTCTCATGTTTTAAACTTACCTGCTTTCTCTTTTGTCTAAGAAGCAAAAACTTGTGAAACAGTTGCCTTTAACTTCTATATGCTTAGAAACAGATTCACCTGCACTAGGACCAGAAAAACAGGTAAATGGTTTTCTAAAGTCTATATTATTTAGATTGTATCTTTCATTTGAGCTCTTTTCTTATTTAGCTGTGTTTCTCAATCTAGCACTATATGAGGATTCCACCGTATTTATACATTTCTAGTATAAATACGGTGGAATCCTCATATAGTGCTAGATTGAGGTGTTATATTAACTTTAGTTCAGGTCTTTCTAAATATAGCTGTCGTGCACCAGAGAATATTATTTGATAATGGAGCATGTCCTAATGTATGTAATGATAACAGTCAGACCAGTGTAGTAAAAAAGCACAGTGTCTGCAGTCAGACAGATTCTAATCCTGTTGTCTACCTAGTAGCTGACTTTGGGTAAACTGCTTAATCTCTCTGAAACTGCTTTTTCATTTATAAAATGTGGGTAAAATAATAAATAGTTTAAAATATTATGGTATTACGTGAAGGAGTGTATGTGAAATACCTAGCAATGTCTGGTATACAGTAGGTGCTCAATGAATGTTCATTTTCTTCTTTGAATTAGCATGTTATAATGAAGGTCTGTTTCTTTCAATACAAGTATTGATATAGTCATGGGTTTACTTATATGATCTTTGCTGTAGTCTCTTTTTGTTATTGTAAGCTACAAGGAATCATATTTTAAATTTCCCTCTTTTTCATATTGCTACTATTTTAATTTATAATTTTCTGAAAGTAAGCCGCAGTATGTACTTTATTTGCTTTAGACATTACCTATTACAATGACCTCCCAATGTGCAGTTTAATAAGTGCCTCTGCCCCACCAGATCTGTGTATCTGTGCCTGCCAAATTCAGAGAATTAGGACTCAAAATTTAGAGGTTTGGGAACAGTAGCAATTATTATGTGTTTATTCGGAAACTATGATTATATGTGATTGTAATGTGAATTTTACAAATTGATGTTCAATTAATTTTATATATATATATATATATTTTAATTTATTTCATTTATTTATTTATTTATTTATTTTGAGACAGGGTCTCACTCTGTCACCCAGGCTGTAATGCAATGGGATGATTACAGCAACATCAACTTCCTGGGTTCAGATGATTCTCCATCATGCATGTGCTATGTGCTACCATGCCTGGCTAGTTGGTTTTTTTTCTTTTTTTTTTTTTTTGAGACATAGTCTCACTCTGTCGCACAGGATGGAGTGCAGTAGCATGATCTCGGCTCACTGCAACCTTCGCCTCCCAGGTTCAAGCAATTCTTCTGCCTCAGCTTCCCAAGTAGCTGGGATTACAGGCTTGTGCCACCACTTCTGGCTAATTTTTGTATTATTAGTGCAGACAGGGTTTCACCACGTTGGCCACGCTGGTCTCAAACTCCTGACCTCAAGTGATCTGCCCGCCTTGGACTCCCAAAGTGCTGGGATGATAGGCATGAGCCACTGCACCTGGCCATCTTTATATTTTTTGTAGATACGTGGAATCACCATGTTCCCCAGGCTGGTCTTGAAACTCCTGGCCTCAAAGAATCCTAGCCTCCTGTCTTGGCCTCCCACAGTGCTAGGATAACAGGCATGAGCCACTGTGCCCGGCTTTTATTTTCATTTTCTTTGAAACAGGATATTGCTCTATGGCCTAGGTTGGAGTACAGTGGCACAGTCATAGCTCACTGCAGCCCCCACCTCCTGGGCTCAAGTGATCCTCCCACCTCAGCCCCCACCTCCAGTAGCTGTCCAGGCTGGTTAATTATACATTTTTATGAGCTAGCTATTATAAAAATGTAATATAGAGGAATGGGAAAGTAGAGGATCACATAACTAGTTTTTTCTATTTTGGTGTAGGACAGAATGGTACAAAATTGCCATTTTGACTGGTGTAAAATGGAAGGAAAATACCTAGGATTATTCCTCCTAAACAGGAATGAATTTTGATACCTGTTGTAAGTCACTTTTATATTTACATTTAGTTGATTTGACAAAAATTGTGAGTTTCTGACATAGTGCCTCGTTCAAAGTAGGCACCAGTTGAGAGCATCCCTAATCTGAAAATCCTAAATCTAAAGCTCCAAAATCTAAAACGTTTTGATCATGGATGTGACACTACAAATGGAAAATTCCATAAATGAGTACTTAACAAAAACTTTATTTCATGCACAAAATAATTTAAAATATTGCATAAAGTTACCTTCAAGCTATGTGTATAAAGTATATATGAAACATAAATGGGGCCGGGCACAGTGACTCACACCTGTAATCCTGACACTTTCGGAGGCCGAGGCGAGCAGATCACTTGAGGTCAGTAGTTTGAGACCAGCCTGGCCAATACGGTGAAATCCTGTTTCTACTGAAAATACAAAAATTAGCCGGGCGTGGTGGTACACACCTATAGTCTCAGCTACTCAGGAGGCTGAGGCAGGAGAATCACTTGAACCCAGGAGGCAGAGGTTGCAGTGAGCTGAGATTATGCCAGAGCACTCCAGCCTGGGAAACAGAGAAAAAAAAAATGCAGGATCCAACCCTACAGGGTCCTATGAGCCCCTCTCCACTGGTGCAGAGACAAGAAATTGTAGAAAAAAAGACAAGACACAGAGATCAAAGAGAAAAAGTTTGGGCCTAAGTGTCCACTGCTCACCAAAGCGTGGAGTCTGGCAATGGCCCCGAGTGTCTGGTCACTCTGGCTTTTATTACATACAAAGCAGGGGGCAGGGTAGACTGGGCAGGTCATTTTTGGTCAGTGATAGGGTCAGGTAAGTCATGTGTCTTGGAGACAGGGGCCCAGGACTTTCAGGTAGCCCAGGCGAGGGAAGGAGCATACTGCATCAGCACTTTTTTCATACTTGTCAAAAAGAGAGAAGACCTTCAGATTTATGTTACTATTACTGATATCTTCTAAGAAAAAGAGGAACCAGGTGCAGAAGCGAAAGATGAAAGTAGACATGGTACGTGACCTCTGAAGCACAGCCCCACATAGAGACACTTAAGCCCCCGAATGTCTGTAGGTTTTCCTGACAGCCGTCAGGCCTACCACAAGAGCTTAGGGGAGCGGAGTTTTCTTCTAACTCCTCCGGGGAAGGAGACATCTTGGATGTCTCCTTCCACAGCTGGCTAAACAGCCGGCACCTTCCCAGCCCTGGTACTTTCCCAGCGCTGGCACTGCTGCACAGCCAAGTCGCCCTCCAGTAGCCCTTATGCGGGAGTGACAGAGGGCTTAGAGCATCTTGCCTTAGGGTCACTTCTTTCACAGTGTCACGTTAGGTTCACACTTTGCAACCCGAGAAGTATTAGCAACATTAAAATATTATAATGAGTATATATATATTTAAGTATCTATATCTATGATTACTTATGTGATTATATTTCTAATTTCATCGTTTATATGGGAACAGGCTGAGGCTTCAGACCCTTGCCTCGGCACTTGTGGGGTCTCCCACCCACAAAAAGAAAGGAAGAGAAAGAGAGAGAAAGAAAGTGAGAAAGAAGAAACAAAGAAAGAATCTGTGTTTAGACTTGGTCCACATCCCCAAGATATCTTATTATGTATATGTAAATATTTTTAAAATACAAAATTTGGAACACTTTTGGGTCCAAGCATTTTGGGCAAGGGATGCTCAACCTGTGCTCAACAAATATTTTTGGATAAATGAATTTTTTAACTGCATGTGATTTTTGTTAAGTAAAATGTGTCTGTTCACCAGGCACGGTGGCTCATGTTTGTAATCCCAGCACTTTGGGAGGCCAAGGCAGGCAGATCACGAGGTCAGGAGTTCTAGGCCAGCCTGGCCAACACAGTGAAACCCCGTCTGTACTAAAAAAATACAAAAATTCACCAGGCATGGTAGCACGTACCTGTAATCCCAGCTACTCAGGAGGTTGAGGTAGGAGAATCACTGGAACCCAGGAGGCGGAGGCTGCAGTGAGCTGAGATCATGCCATTGCACTCCAGCCTAGGCAACAAGAGTGAAACTACGTCTCAAAAAAAAAAAAAAAAATGTCTGTTCTAGAAAGTTAAAAAACATAGAAAATCATGACCAAGAAAATAAATCATCTACCACACAAAGGTTACCACTATAATATAGTAGCTAAGTCCACAAACTCTGAAGTCAGATTGCTTGGGTTTAAAGCCCAGCCAGGCTACTTACTAGCTATTTGAGATTCCTTCTTATCTATATAAATAAGAATATGGTCGGGTGCAGTGGCACGTGCCTGTAGTTCCAGCTACGTGGGAGGCTGAAGTGGGAGGATCGCTTGAGCCCAGGAGTTCTGGGCTGTAGTGCGCTATGCCGATCAGGTGTCTGCACTAAGTTCGGCATCAATATGGTGACCTCCCAGGAGGTGGATCACCAGGTTGCCTAAGGAGGGGAGAACCGGCCCAGGTCGGAAGCGGAGCTGGTCAAAACTCCGATGCTGATCAGTAGTGGGAT